TGTATTATGCTTCTGCATTAGACCTTTCCACCACATTCTATGTGACAGATACACGCTCAGCATTCAGTTCCACTAATTCTAACCTGGTTGAAAAAAGGTAAGGTTTTGAACTTTTGAGTTTTTCAACTATTTGCATATCTTTGAGAGTGTTTTAATATATGAAATTGATTGTGTTTACATTCATCTCTTTTGATTGGCTCCCCCAGACGATATGCACGAGTCGATCTTCTCTCTAGATCGAACGTAGAGGCCATGGGATGAAGCACTCTCCCTTCTCTCGATTCTTGCACAACATGATTTAAATTTATATGAGAAAAGATTATTTTGAGGTAAAAATTTATTTTGGGTTTAGTTTGATTTGTATTTAAGTTGTAAGTTGGAAGATGCCATAAATTAAAAAAAAAAATTCATAGATTGTTTACAAGCAAAAGAAGTTTCGAGGTGACCGTAATAAAATTATCTATCCAAGGGTTGATTGTCAATATTGTCAATTAAGTAAGATTCTCAATTTAATTTAAAGAATTAATTTATTTGAAAATAGTTCAGTGTAAATTTAATGTGATAGATCTACATGTAAGCTAATTATATCGAAACATTCTCCAAATTAAACTTCAAAGCTTTTAAATCAATTTCAAATTTAAAAGTGTAGGCGTTTAATATTTTAAGTGAAACAAGATGCATACATCTAGATGTCTAAAAAATGTAATTAAATGAAATGAGTTTAAGAAAGATCATGTATATAGATAGATTGGCAATGATATAACCTGTATAACCAGGGTGTGAAATGTGAGCCCGTATAAAGGCCAAAGGGTCCTCAAGTTAAAATATATATGATGACCTATGCAGGTGGGACAACAAAGATAGGCCCTTATAGAGATAAAAGGGCCTCAATACATTATGTAGCTTGTAAGCTTGTAATAGCAAATAAACCTACTCTCAAATACATGATCTATGTTAAGTAATAAAAAAATAGAAAAAAATTGTCCATCATGAAACCTGCACATATTTTCAATGTTTTAAGCTCTAATATTCTGTTAAAAGTTTTATTTCCACTTAGATATTTCACTTACTATAAAATAAGATGTTATTCATGTATTTTTATTTTAAAGGATTACAGGTAAAACACTAGACTAGTTCATAAAAGGATTACAGGTAAAACACTAGACTAGTTCATAGGTATAATTGAACTTTTATGATATTTGGTTTCTGTATTAGAGTGGTTAACCTTGTTAAGCTTTTTAGCTCATACAATATCCTATATCAAATATTATTTCATCTAAAAGAAAAGATAAAGTAAAACCAGGCTGAGGATCATATTTTGATCGACTACTATATATTTTTAGTACAATTTTGTTATAAGATAAAACATTATCAGGTATGTTATGATAAAAATTTGATGATATATAAGAAAATCTTTAAGTATATTAGAAGCTTTGTAGTTACAACATCAAGCCTTTATCCCACTACGTGGGGTCGGCTACATGAATCCTTTTTCTCCATTGTGTCCCATTAAAAGTCAAATTCTCGTTTAAATCTAATAAAGAAAGGACATTCCTAATATTTTATAACCAAGTCTTTTTAGGTCTACCCCTACCTTTCTTAACACAAGTCAAATCTAATACCTCTACTCTCCGAACCGTGTTATCGGAAGGCCGCCTTTTTATGTGACCAAACCATCTAAGACGACTCTCTCTAATCTTATCTTCTACTAGAGCTACTCCAACCTTTTCACGTATATGCTCATTTCGTATCCTATCTCTAAGGATAAAGCCACTCATCCATTTGAGCATTCTCATCTCTGCCACACTTAACTTAGTATTATGCTTCTCTTTTAATGGCCAACATTCATGGGGTGTGACAAGCCACTCCGTTAAAGTGCAGGGGCATTGCTACCAATTGAACAATACAAAGGTGGCCACTTGTACCAATCACACATGATAAACTTTTTGTATTTTCATGAGTCTTCTACGCAATGTAAATTTTATCTATTCCTGATAAATTAACATGGGATTTATGCTGACGCTAAATTAAAACAGACCAAAAATCTTCTAAATAGCATAGAGGTGATTAAAAATCAAGACGAGGGTCTATGTTTATGAGCACAAAAATCTATGTTAAAATGAGTAATAAAGGAGCTATTCCTAAAAATATAACTGCTGGTCATTATAATACAAGTTCTAACTTCGAAGTTGGGTGTATTACCCTCAAGGGAGGGAAAAAGGTACTGATTTAAGGAAGAGGATCATTGGCATGGATGTAAGTCAGCATGAAAGAAATGCCTAGAATTGTACTACATGGCAAAGGACATAATGGCTCAGATTTTTATGTCGCATACCATGTCTAATGGGATAAAGGCTCGATATTGTTGTTGTTGTATACCATGTCTAAAAAGATATATATGAATTACTGTGTTAATAGAAATTCAAGGTAATAAATCTCCAAAGCCCTTTGAATATAGTAGCCTACTCTGTCAAAACTTTCAATTCATTTTAAAGTAATTCCAGCTCCCAACGTTATTGATGCTTCACCTTCTCCATTTTACAGGTGAAAACTGCAATCTAGCTAATTTTCATATGCAAAGGTCATAGGGAAATCCAACATATTGTACAATAACTTATAACAACTAAAACAGCTCTTACATAACACGAGAAATTAGTCAAGTGGAATTGCATATGCGTATTATAGAGTTTAGCTTTTCGCCTGGGTGCTGCATGCAAAAGTGTAATGTAGTACCATCATATCAAGCTTACACTATCATCTAGTTTATCGAACGACCAACAATCCTACATGTTTTTACTCACACAGCATTCCAATGCAAGATCAAGCGCATTTACTCTCTTCTGCACAACAAAAGTGAGTGAGAAACAGCTCACAAGACTTCATAAACAGTACCATTTAACCTTGTATTACTCTCTTCTGCACCACAAAAGTGAGTGTGACACAACTCACAAGACTTCATAAACAGTACCATTTAACCTTGCATCAGAAAAATTGTTTAAATTTCCGTAAATCAAGTAAGGGTACAGCATTTCTATATAATTTTATTTTGCACCATCATATCCTGTTGAAGCCAAATGAACCAATGTCTGATGAAAACTAATGAAACTTGAATTGTATACAATAGTTGGTGTGTAGCACTAACAAATCTTTGTGCTCTCAACAGGAATGAATGGAAATGGGTGCTAATGATGATGACGACAACAGTTGGGAGTGCAGATCAGTACAACTGATGCTTTTCTTGCATCCAGAGATAAATGCACCTTCACTTCATTTTATGATAATAAAGAAGCTATTCTATCAGGAAAAGGAGTACAGAGATAGGCACCATTGAATGAAGCATGATTTCCTCAACCTAAGTATGAGATTGTTTCCCACATATGCATAAATAAAAAGATATAAAAAATATAAGGGGCCATTTATTCAGGAAAAAAAGAAACATAAGACTCACCCCGGCATTGTAGATAAGCTTTATTACACGGATTGGAGCAGCAACAATATCTCCTGTTTTATAGATGTCATCCAGTGGAAGATTTTGTTGCAAAAGCTGGTTTCACCATTCGATTCAGTATCTATAAACAGAAAGTACATTCTAATGTTAAAAGAAGTATACCTGCAAATGGTCCCCAAAAAGTTTAACTTGAGAAGTTGCAACATCATCACGTATTCCAATGAACGCTTCAAATGTAGCCTTTATAATAGAACCATGAGGTCAAGCAAATTAGAGAAAAACAATTAATAGAATGCCATTGAAACAAAATGTAAAAAATGTTTAGAGCATAAAAGGATTAGGATTATTAGAATAAAGATTGAGAACAATACGCAATTTTAGAGTATGGGATATTAACAATTATCAATCAATATTGTTTGATGATAAAGGGATAACCAGGTGTGATAAATTTGAATATTTTAGAACTATATACAAAAAAGAGGGTATAAATGATGATATAACTTCTATAGTTATAGTTGGGTGATTACAATGATAAAATGCTTCCAAAGTACTACGCAAGAAGAGAACATCATGAAGAGAGAAAGGTGAATTTTAGAAATTTGCAAATAGGTTTTCTATATTATATGGACAGGAGTTTTGGCAATAGAAAAGATGTTTAACTAAGTTAAGTGTGGTAGAAATGACAATATTAAAATGGATATGCATGAAAAAACTAGGAAGGTTAAATTTGAGAATGGCTATATTAAATGTCTAGGAGAAAGAGTATCTATTGGAGATAAGATATTGAAAAATGACTGAAATGGTACGAACATATACATCGAAGGGAGAAAAATGCATCCATTAGACAAGTAGTTAAAATTAGTGTAAAATGATTGAGAAGGAACAGGTTGGGCCTAAGATAATATGGATAGCAGTTCAAAAGACTTTGTGACATAGGTTTAATACTTCTTGTTGAGCTCAACAAAGAATGAATGAAAAATAAGAAGTCAAAAAGCCAACCCCAAAATTAGAATAATTAAGGTCAATTATAAAATGAGAATATATTTTATATTTAAACATAGAACTATTTAAATACAGATCTGCAAGCGAACGCATTACAATTAAAATATTTTTTCTAAGTCCAATATTCATTAATCTTATAGAAAGTATGGTAATAAAAATTTCATACTATTCTTCATCAACAATTCCACCATCCCTTTTGAAGTTTTTGTATATCTAGGCATTTTATGAGGGAGAACTACTTAACAAAATAGTGTTATATAAAATAAAGGTTATTCTCTACAGGATGGAAAAGCTGATCATTTACATATAAACTCTCGCTCATCCCAACTCCAGATTTTGAAAAGTATATTCAAGAAATTCTCCCTGACATTATGGTAATATTATTGCCATTTATTAGCACATTATCCATTGTCTATTTCAAATACCTATTGAGATGCATTCCATGAAGAATATGGTACTGCATGGTATACAAACAAAGAAGATGCCATCGATTATGGAAGCAATGCTTTTTAATTGCATCTCTTAACATTGAAATTACGCTTCATAGAAACGAAGAAAAAAATCAACACAATTGTTGGCAAATAAAAAAAAAAAAAAGAGAACTAATTTTTTTTAAATTGAAGAGATGTGTTTCTTCAAGATCCTAATCCAATCCCACTGATACGGTTATGAGCTCAAATGACACGGCATTTTGGCAAGATAACTTGCCTTTGACAAATCTGATCTATAAAAGAGCGCTGAAATCGAACTAAAAAAAAAACTGAAACTTACGGGTTATTGAGAATTCTTCTCTGAACACTGTGTGCTTCAGATCTTTCTTTCTATACATCTCCTATCGTGTGAAGAAACAGCCTGCTCAGACCTGCTTACCTTCCATGCCGGAATCCCAAACTTGTCAGACACCCTACTCTCATCCGCTCGATCCCACACAAGAGCAGCACACATCCTAACATCTCCGTTTGTGCCTACATCACGTGTGAATAGCCCTGATCCGCTTGTACCTAATTTTCAAACCATATATCCTAAGTGAAATAGTAAGACCCACAATTTAGAAAATCTCTAAATAAAATGCAATATCACAAAAATCTCAACTAAGTCAAAACAATTGGGCATCTTAGCTTATAGGGCTAGGTTTTAAGACCCACAAATGAGCTACTTCTAATAAAAGTCATAAGACCGCCATTCGGGCTACTTTCAATGAAAATCGACTCAAATTCAAACACCCAGACTACTTCCAAGAGAAGCTGCAAGACCAGCTTCAAATCAAACTTCTCGGTAACTACTAAATTAAATCATAAATCTCAAACCAAACCAACTATTGAGTATTCTAATGGATGTAAACACCAAAAATCCAATACAACTAAAACCCACATCTAACCACCTCAGTCTACTCAAGATCCATGAGAGAAGGCAACCCATAACTTCTAATTAGATTACCTGGACACTACGATAAAAAATTATTAGTATTAGTAGACTGAAACCTAAGGTGTGCCCGGGAATACATAATCATGGGATATTGATAGGGTTTACCTTCAATTTTCCCACGATTGAGACTAAAAGGCCTACAATTTATTCATACTTAATCGAGAGTTCTCTCTTACGTGTTAAGAGGGGCAATTAACAATGAGTACTTGCGCTCATGGGAAGTAAGAACCCAAATCTAATTAAACCCTGACACTACCCTCAGGAAAAATATGGTAATTACAATATAACTTAAGGAGAATGGGATCCTACAACTACAAAGCGGGATTCATGCCAACGCGCCATTTTTTCTTGAGCCAACACCAATCTTTTAAATTAACTAAAACTTCGATCAGAATAAAACAAAAATATATGGAATCCTAGCTTGATAGCGATTTTATCAAACAACTAGTATTGCATGCCAGTAATTAAATACCTTTGAGGTTTTAAATTAAAAAAAAAAAATACCTGACAGCAGAAAGTAGCAGTTAGAAGGGAAATTTGTTTATATTTGTATTCACTTAAATGAATATCATAAATATTGCTTTTGAAAGAAAATCCCCTAATAGTAAGCAATGTTGAATTACTAAAACCTTGATGCTCTTTTTAGAATGCGAAATACAACAATGTCGAAATATACAGGCATCATAAAGAGATAAAAATGTTGAAATGTCTACAAAACATAATATTCAAAATAACACAAGAAATGTAACAATTAGATGTAAGGTTTACACAGATAAATGTAGAGACATCTTCAGAACCCTGATGAAGTTTTTTTTTTCCTTCCCAAATTCTATGGGGCGGGAGTTACTATGGCATAGGAATCTTGGCAATAACTTCCATGAACCTTAACAACAGGAAAAATTAGCACCCACACACCTTGGAGAAGATGATTACACACTAAGACCTGAAAATAAGATTAACTAACAAATGTGGGCTCTAAAATTCGTACCCCGGCCTCGTCGCGCCTTCTTTTATTGACTGGGAGAGTTTTAACATATTTAGGTTCAGGGGTAAATTTTCAGAAAGGAAATTGGGTTTTTAGATAAGACACTGCCCATAGATTTCACCCTCATTTTAATTACCCTCCCAATAACGAGAGAGAACTTTTGATAAAGGCTAGTCATTAAATAGCTCGCAATAATTAACTAGTGTATAGTATCAACAATTTTAGGGTTTGAATTTTGGAGTTCATGATTTGAAATTCATCACCATAAACTTAAAACGGGTGATGGGAGAATGATGACAGGCCTGATCAAGATCCCATGATTCCGTCGTCCCAAACTATTATGATCTGTGGTCTACTTAGTCAAAGGAAATAGTTGACCCAACCTGACAGAAGGAATCTTGTCAGCAACCAAAGGTTGCTTTGTCCAAGAATATCTTGTAGACACAGGGTGGAAGTTTTTCTAAGGTGATGAATTTAAGTCAACCTTTGTTAACAGGAGGTTTCATATCGTGCACCCTATAATTTCATTACTCAAGGGGATTTTCACTATTAGGAAACATACAAGCTTTGGCCATGACCATAATATGGTTGTGCCATTTTGAAGTAAAACCACCTGATTAGAGGGCACTTGCCATGTCTCTGCTAGCAATGAATCTACTGAGAATGAATTAAAGTAATACATTCTAAAAGATATCAGCTCTTTGTAAGCTGAATTATTCTTCAATGCATCATCATCATCAAACTATTGCGAAGTGTGGATGTATTTTATTTTTAAATTTTTTTGTGATTAAATTTCCATTTAAATATTTAGAATTTGGTGGATATTAGATTTTGAAATTTTAATAGGCTTTGAGAATTGAACTCTCTGGTTGAGATGTACATTCAACACGGTCATCATCGGTTTGTTGTATCGTGAGTTATTCCCCTCTCTATTGGTTAGGTCAATAGTGATGTCTTCTAAATTTCCTAAAACATTCAAATTCTTAGAGGTCTTAGAAGTAGTTTTGCTTGAAGTTGTATCTCCTTTGGATTGAACATTTCACTGTGTTGTAATTTCAAGGGGAAATCCAAGAAACATTCTCAAAAGGGCTTGCAACTTCTCTATGAGATTTTATAAGGCACATGTTCAATATCAAGAAGTTTTTCTTCCCATTTTTATTTTATTATTTTAAATATTTTTTTATTCTTATTCAATATATAGGTCCTTTGACATTTGAAAATCCGTCAATCTCCCGAGGTCCCCTCCCCACGAAGGGAGGTTAGGGAGGCACTTACGTTTCAATTTTCCCGACTAGATCAAAGATACGAAGGCGCGAAGTCTTCGTATGTTCATTTCTCTTAGCCGGATCAAATATACAACAGCATAGGGCTAGCTTCTTTGGTCTTCTCCTAGCTGGATCAAAGATACAACAGCGCATGTCTTCAATACATGTTGTTTAAGCAAGCATGAAAGAAAATGTATACCTGTTCTTTTTTATATAATAATATACATAAATATATATAGGTAGATGGAGAATCAGTGGTTGGATCTGGTAACGAGATCAGTCGCAGGGTATGCCGGGTCAGCGGGAGTAGGAGACTGGGTCAGGTCGGTCGAGTATGTAGGGTGTGAATTCCTACATGCAGAATCAAGTGAATGAGAGAAGGCTCGAGTTGGGAGGTGGGTTTACGGGCGTCTGCATGCGTGAAGGAGAGATTGAGTGGGCGTGGAGAGCCAGTAACGAGGTCAATTGGGTCTTATGCTTGCTGTTGAGGGAGACGAGAGGGATGGTACGGATGAAAGTGGGTGTTGGACGCATAGTCATGCACTTGGACGGGGGTAGATCATGTTAGGTCTCTTATGCGGCTGAGGGGCCGGAGATGAAACATGAGAGGGGGATCGGGTCGGATTGCGAGAGCGATCGTGTGCAGTAGGTCTTGCATGCGGCTGAGATCGAGCTGCAGGATTGATGCATTCATATTTTGGCTTATTTTGTTTTGATGTAATTTGAATATTAGTTGTATTATCCAATGATGGAAAACATCCAATGACCATGGTAGGATGTGCTTGGGCATGGCAAGTAATGAGTTTGCTAGCATTTTGGGTTCTTTTGTTCTTTGGGCTGCTTGCTGCCTCTCAGTTTGGGCTTTGGCTGCTCTTGGGTTAGACTTTGGTTGCTTTGTTTTTAAGCTGAAAACTTGGGATCTTCTTGGTGATAACTCATTAATGCTTGAGCTGATGTTTAACTCATTATTTGGAGGAGTAATTGCACTACTTAGCTCATAAATTTGAAAAGTTATTCTTCTTTCAGCTCATTATGAGGAGTGGAGCTTGCCTTTTCCCTTCTTGTGTCCCCTCGGTTTTTCCCTTATGTTGTTCCCATGACTAGTTGCTGGGTGCTAGTTCCGGTCCCCAGTGTTGGCTTTTTAGGTTCCTCCCTGGTTGCTTTCCTGTGGCTGCCCCTACCCGGTTTCTGTGTTGGCTTTCTGATTTCTTCCCTGGCTGTTTTCCTGTGGCTTCCTCTACCCGGTTGCATCATTTGTTGTCAATCCCCTTGATTATTAGCCTTTTTTTTGTTTTCTTAGGAAAGAGACACACAAACCAAGGATTTGCTAACTCACTCTGATATCAAACTTGATGCGGGCAAACTATAAAGAAAAGTCAAATAGGAGAACACTATGACAAATGAAAACCAAACTCGATTCAATCTAGTATGCAAATATCTAAGCAAACACCAAAATAAACGAAAAGTCGAATCAAACGAAATAAAATTATAAAATAAAAACACTATCCTCAGAACAACTGGCAAGCGATTTCCTCACATGCAACGAGAAGTAGGAAAAATATGATAAAGTGCTTAGGCTTGCAAACCAAGGGTCCACTACAGCAAGAAAGGTCCAACGTCCAACAAAACTCTTCCGGCAAATGTCTCCAAATCAGCCAACAAACATCTCCCAATAGTTCAAGAAGGATACAAGTGGAGTGGAACTTGCGTAGAGAAGAAGAGATTAGAATCCAAGACGAACTAGAGAGGAGGAAGAGGTGGAACAAGCTCTCAAGCTTTTCCAAGAGAAGAAACCCTCAGATTTTTAGCAACTTATCTCAAGTTAATCAACAACCTTCTCAAGATAAAAACACCTCAAATTTATAGGAGAGAAAGGGGAGCCAAACAGCCAACTTCCACCTCCAACCAAACCAATCAGGTAAGGGGAAGAGGAAGACCAGCAGTCAACACAAAACAACTCCCAAAGACAGTACAGGAACCTACGTACAGATCGAAGTCAAAGACGGTAGCAGAAGATTGTGTGCGTTCTTGGGTGCGTGAACCGAGAGACACGAGAGAGCAAGAAGGTAGACAAATTCCTTCTTCAATTTCTGCTTGGGTTTGAATGAATGGAGCGGTTCTTTGCACGCGGTTTTGTGAAAATGAAAGGGGGTGTAGGTTGTGTCGTGTGTAGTCGCATAGTTTTGGTGAAATGTGCATGAGGTGGGGCTGGTTAGTGGTCAACAACATACCACATAAAACTGACATAAAATCATACATACATAAGGATAAATATAAGCAATATGTTGAGGCAAACTTGGACATTAGTCCAAAGAATGATGGTCCGTATTTTATATCCAAGTGACAGCAGAATACCATAATAGACATACTTAATCAAAATGTACCTTATATCCAAAAATCCCATCTTCATATGTCTCATACGGTCCAATTGTTACATCCAATTTTGAATCCTGAAACAAAAAATAATAAGCGGGAAAGTAAAAAAGTAGGAAACCTTTTTGAATAAGGAGTTCAAAAAGAAGGAAATCTAGAAGAGAAAGGTTAATAACATATTCTTAGTGACTTTTTTATCATATTAGAGAAAAAGATATAACTCAGTAATCTGAAAGATGCTAAACACAATAAATACAAAATGACAAGGATGAATAAATCATGCACAATCTAAGAGTGGTATACTAACCAATTCCATCCAAGCAACATCAGACTCATAATAGTCATTTGACAAAAAAGCATCTGCTTTAGTTTTCAGCAACTTCTTCAGGCTTGCAAGATTAAAGAAAAAGAATTCATTGGAATATAGACCCATAAACAATATAAAAGGTGTTCGTACAGAAAACACGTATCAATAGTGCAGGTAGCATCTATTGTTCAATAAAAATAAAATTACAGAAATATTTGATAGCATTACCCACCTAAGAATATCTCCCAATGCTCAATGGTTTGCAGATTTCTACATTACTTGACGGAGTACTCTATTTTAGGTGTGCAAAGATAAGTTCTTTAGATCCGAGCTTGAATACATCCAAGATGAGCAAGAGCTAATTACATTTAATGCCAAAGGATATCTCAAAGGCTTAATTGTTTAACATATTGACTTCGAAAGTATTTATTGGACTAATTCTCAACTTTAGGTATGCAAAGACAAGTTCTTTGATACGCATTCCAAAACTCCATTGGCAATCATTAAAATTAGTTTAGATAAAGATATTACAAGCACTTCATGAGAGAAAGGTTAAATTTGAAGTCAATAAAGCCAAAAATAATGAAGAACAACCTTCAATATCAACATTTTTATCACTTTGGTATTATTATGTGTGCATAATAGGATTGCCAAACTTGTTTATATTTTTTTAGTTAAATATTTGGTTAAAAATACATTAAATAAGGCAACCAAGTTCACCGTGAACTTGAACGGTTTAAAGTTGGCAAACCGATTGGGTGAAAGCAAGTTGCATAATCTGCAATCTTTGAACAAGTTCAGCAGAATTTGGACTAGTCTTTCAGGTTGGCTACTTGCAATCATGGAGGTTAAATTTATTTTGAACATACAAATCCATGGGTCCAACAGATAAGATTTTCCTTGGTCCTTCGCTCCTATGTCCTTGGCATAAACATATAATTAGAGACATTGATTCCTTGGATCCTACTATGTGGCTTTCTTGAGACATCCCAATCTGCTTTTTTTTTTTTCACTATTTCATGGGTCTTTTTGAACCTTTGGTTTCCAATCCCTTTCAAAAATGGATCCAAGAATTTGTCTTTCTCTCTACTCCATTCTTCAAGTGATAACTGAAAGCAGAACTAGCCCTTTTATTATATTCTCAAATGGGTCTTCATGCTAACCAGTATCTAGAATCAATAAATTTGAAAGTGACCTAAAAAATGCATAGAAACTCTTCCATGCAACCTGGCATCTAGAAACAATAGCTTTGAAACTAAAAGCTCTTTCCTTCTCTTGACTTTATTTTAAGTAAGCTTTAGAGCCTTTTGTCCAACTTGTATATTTTCAAGAAAATAATATTAATCTTAAAGAGTTCGTTAACTTGGAAACTTAGCAAAAGTGTTTCTCATACTTGGCTGTCATCTTTCCAAAGAAACTGAATTTCGGGATTTTATGTTTAGAAATTCATAAGATTCTTTTGCATAATCTTTCATACCTTCACGCAAGTACTCTTGAGCATTAACAGATCAATGGTTCGGAAGCAAAATAAGAATATGATCTTTTCATAAGCTTTTATTTTAACATGAAATATTTTTTATTAAAAATAAGTTTTAAGCTTGGTAATTTATTATTTGTAGTGTTCCTCATTCCATATATCTTCTCTATTTGAACTTCTATTCTAGTTGCTAGTTAGTTTGCATTATCTCCACTAATTGCTTTTGTAACGGGTTTGGCATCTTCTTCGGAAGGGTTGAGCCTTGAAAATGAAGTGGTGAAAGGGTTTTTCATCTATGAAAAAGATCGTGGTCATCTGATTCTTGAGCCCAGCCAAAGAATGTTGTGAGGTTTTCACCCATAATGCCAAGGATTGATGGATGAATTCATAAGAAGGGCCAAGCTGAGTGGATTTACACTTGCTGAGCCACTATAAATCCTCATGCCATTTAACTTGCTCTATTCTTTACCCTTACTTTCCAGAATCATGCATTCAGATAGCTTCATTCACTCATGTGCATATCAATTTTTAACATTAATCTATTTTAATTATTCATTTACTCAACCCTTCACTCCTATATTTTACATATTTGCAATCTATATTTGGTTATGTTATTCATACTCCTGTACACTTAAAGTGCTTTGGTTTTTGCATAAAAGGCTTTAAATTTCAATTTTATTTCATGACACCCAACTGAAACCCCAGTCCCCATCTTCATCCCACTTGGCTAGTGCAAATAGGCCAAAAATTAGCATTTTAATGCCTGGTTATTAATTAAATCTGCTGCTTTCGTAAAGGTGTTATACACCTTAAAAATGAATTGTATCATAGTATACATATTTACTATTTGAAGATTTCTAATTGAATATCAACTCCAACGACGACGACAACAACAACAACATCAAGCCTTTATCCCACAACATGAATCCTTTTTCTCCATTGTGTCCTATTAAAGGTCAAATTCTCATTTAAATTTAATAAAGAAAGGTCATTCCTAATATTTTCTAACCAAGTCTTTTTAGGTATGCCTCTACCTTTCTTAACATAAGTCAAATCTAATACCTCTACTCTCCTAACAGGGTCATTGGAAGGCCGCCGTTTTATGTGGCCAAACCATCTAAGGCGACTCTCTCTAATCTTATCTTCTACTGGAGCTACTCCAACCTTTTCACGTATATGCTCATTTCGTATCCTATCTCTAAGGGTAAAGCCACTCATCCACCTGAGCATCCTCATCTCTGCCACACTTAACTTAGTATTATGCTTCTCTTTTAATGGCCAACATTCAGCACCATAAAGCATTGCAGGCCTCACTACCATCTTATAGAATTTTCCCTTAAGTTTGTATATCATCTCCAACGACAAACTTCAAAATTTCCTAATAATCAACATGAAGCTTAGGGCCAATGAAAAAATGTGATGGATAAAACCCAAAAAGTTGACTGGAACCCATATTGACATGCAAGCATCAAATTTTACTAAGTTGTATATTATATTTCATTTATATGATAAATCCTAATTTTATAGGCAGAAAATGATACAATTACAATAAAAGACGAATACAAAGAATTGCCAACAAAAAAGATAAATGCATAAGAGAAAACAACGACAATATAATGGTCAAGGATGAAAGATCCTTCAGAAAATCAGTAAAACAACAAAAACACTCATTTAAAATGCACTGTTTGAAACCTGGTGAATACTGGGGAATGACGATGAAGGTTTTTCTTACTCCCGCCCTGTCCAGGAAAGAGGATTTGAAACTTCATATCCGCTAGTGTCAACACCATTAGTGCATTCAGTAATTGTAGGGAAATGAGAAGCTACTAGTGGAGAGGATCAAGATCAATGTTGTTGTTTGCTAATCATGTGATAATCATATCCATAGGTCTAGCAAGTGCAGGGGCAATAGACTTTGACACCAAAGTAAAGCCTAAAATTGGTTGAATATTATGAGTTCAATCCAATGAAACATACAATTCAAGTAGAACTCTTGCCACCAATGTTTGAAATTGCGTATTCGGGTATTGAGGCGTTTTTCATTCATGAGGCGAGGCGTAAGCCTCAAGGCGTTTTGAGGCGTAAGCCTCAAGGCGTTTTGAGGCGTAAGCCTCAAAATCAAAAGATTGCGTAAACATAAAATGATAATTTTTTTATATACTAATGAATGCATAATATAAAACATAAAAAAGCATGAGATATGAAGTGAAATCAAAATATCCCAATAATAAGACAACATGAAATATAGTTCAACTCAAAATTCTATCTTTCTCAAATCTCAGTATTATTTTCATTAAAATATAATTTCAATTTCCAAAAATAAATAGCAATGACATATCACATAAGAACTCATAAGTCATTAGCACTGTCATCACTAAGGGGTTCTTCATTTGAATCATCATTATGATGAACTGCTCTCTCCCCTTCCTCCTCTCCTATAGAGTCCAATGTCGGGCATTTACTTCAAGATTTATGTAAGTTTTAATATACATAGCGTGATGCGTAAGCCTCATGCCAGTGAGGCGAGGCGGGCCTCAACCAAGTTGAGGCGCAAGCCTCATAAAAAAACTCGAGGCGTAAGCATCGAGGCATTTTTTACTAGAATTGCGTAAAGGCGGGCCTCAAGGCGAGCCTCATATTGCGCAATTTTAAACCATGCTTGCCACAAATGGCCTAAATAGACTAGCCATAGTAACATCCACTCGTAAAGTTTACCAAAAATAAAGCCCACGGAATGTAACATGGATTATTCGAAATAATGTACATACAACAACAACAACAACAACATCAAGCCTTGTCCCACAATATGGGGCCGGCTACATAAATCCTTTTTCTCCATTGTCCTGTTAAAAGTCATATTCTCATTTAAATCTAATAAAGAAAGATCATTTCTAATTTTTTCTAACCAAGCCTTTCTTAACATAAGTTAAATCTAACACCTCAACTTTCCTAACCGGGTCATCGGAACTCGGAAGGCCTCCGTTTAATGTGACCAAACCATCTAAGGCGACTCTCTCTAATCTTATCTTCCACTGGTGCTAATCCCACCTTTTCACGTATATGCTCATTTCGTATCCTATTTCTAAGGGTAAAGCCACTCATCCACCTAAGAATCATCATCTCTGCAACACTTAACTTAGTATCATGCTTCTCATTTAATGGCCAATATTCGGCACCATAAAACATTGCAAGTCTCACCACCATCTTATAGAATTTACCCTTAAGTTTGAGAGAGACTTTTCTATCGCACAACAAGCCCGATGCATTCCTCCACTTCAAACATCCAACTGGAATTCTACTGATAATATCCCCATCTATTTCACCATCACTCTGAACAATAGATCCAAGATATCTAAAACGTGTACTCTTATTAATAACTTGATCATCCAAAGTCACAATCACCTCACTAAGTATATTGCTATTAAAATTACACTCTATATATTCAGTTTTAGATATACTCAAGCGAAAACCTTTAGACTCTAAGGTTGACCACCATAATTCAAGTTTACCTTCAACTCCCTCTCTAGTCTTATCAACAAGAAGAATATCATCAGCAAAAAGCATACACCAAGGTACATCCTCTTGCAAATGTCTAGTGAGAACAT